AACATACATGTACTACTAAAACTCGAACAGCTGGTTAAAACTACTACACTACACTCAACTTTAATACATTACAACGCATACAACACAAATATATGGCGTACCTACAATATGTCTAAATGAGAGTTCAAATACCGAAGACAGTTATATTTGGTATATTTTTTGAAATTACGCACCCACAGCAGTTGCGATTTCCTTAAATTCACAAACTTAAAAAAAAAAACGGAGATACACCTAAAGGTGCACCTAAATTAATATTTAATGGCTTATCAAATCAGAAGTAATCTGATACACTGTAACACGTAATAAGATATTATGCCCTGTTCGAGACAAATCGACAATTTTATTCAATTAAGTGCCATTGCCTTCAAAACTGTCTAGGATTTTTAAGCAGTTGCGACCCTCAACGAAATACCATTTACATCCGTTTTGGTTGAACCGAACAAACCGGGGTATATTAACACCAAATTAAGTAAATTTACCCATACTTTCGTTTCTAAATATCAATATCGTTATTAGTATTATGTGATTATTGGTTTAGGTGAAAAAGGGAAGTCTGCTTCTCTGCGCAAGTAATGCAATATTAAAATAAGTAAAATATTAAGCACTGGAATGTCTCAATATCTGAAAATATGTACGATCTTGATGAATATTAGATAGGTATATCACATTTAGCGCAATTACATACAAATACAACTAAATTCAAGCACAGCCATGAATCAGGGGCAGGGTTGTGCATACGTAAGAGATTTATTCAATTATTGAGATCGACTCACCTTGAAGTTTTCATGCAGAAATGTATATATGAAGGGATTCACAAAGCTGTGCGACATAGCCAGTAAATGCACAAATAAGTATAGTCTTATAATAAGCCATCCACTCTCACCGATCATCACGTCTGGGTCAAATACTATAACAAGGCGTAAAGTCTGAAGTGGTAGCCAGCAGATAAAGAAGACACAGACGACCATTAGAACCATTCGTATTATCTAGAAACAGCAGATGAACTAATTATTTCTTCGTAAGATAATGCCACATCATAGGAAATTTAAAAGATTAACTATGTCGTGAGAAAAAATCGTAGAAGTCGAATCTCATTCGGAAACGTGTCACTTAATTTGATGGAAATATATTCTTTTGCATTTTGGATTTAAATTATATAACAACCTGCCAAGACGAGGTTGGAAAAGCTATAAAGAGTAGTTCTCGTACGTAACCCTTACAACATTGAGAGTTTTAATCACTACTACAAAGTTTTTTTCTGTCTGCGGACAATCCCGATAGTAACCTATAACATTTTGTTAATTCATACGGTGAAAACGCGCTTAAAATGTAGCATATATATATACCGATGCTGCAAGTTGTGAGTGAAAACTAATAGAGTCTGAATAACTCGGATAAACTGTGAATATTATTCAATATATTGACGTTTTTTGAACATTCGGAATAAATTGTGGTATTTCGGTGAGCACTTATGTAATCTTGTTGTGATCAAGATGTGTTATTCTTGGTATACACGATTCAAGATATCAATAGCCTTAGATTGTGCTAAGAAGACGTTCACGAACGCTTAGCACGGGCTATAAAACGATATGTCGAGCTAAATGTGATCTGTTGTTATGACCGGATCTAGACCGTTAGTACAATGAAGTGTACATAAGCGCTTAGCCCAAAATACCACTGTATTTTTGGTATGCCATGTCCGACATGTAATAAAATCAACGCCAGCACAAACAGGGGAATTATTTTCGTGAACAAATAATCCTGTAATACTGGTAATTTGCACGTTCTAAATTTGCATTGTTAATGTTTTATAACCATATAACTAACATGTACACGTTCCTCGTCACTGTAGTGAGTAAAAATAGACACACAATTAAAGATTTGTATATTCTTAACAAGTTTGAGCGCTAATTACTATTCTCTTCCATGCGCTGGGTAAAGCTGTAATCCAAGCACACAAGTTTAGCTTAAATCTTAGCCCGTTTTGTAAAATACGGCTACGTTCTCTATCACTCATTATTTGACTATATCGATATATACCAAACAATTGTTTTACATCAGTTTCAATAAATATTATATGAAATTTTGTCGATCTAAACCTATGATTACTCTATATAGATAGAAGAAAGAAAACATTGTGTCACAATAACTTATGTATTAGTACGACGTAGTTATATGTAAATTGTCAGTTCACCAAAGCAATAAAGGAATGTAAACTTCGTGAATTCATCTCGGCATCTCAACTATGCGTCCATTTTCAATTGTTCACACATGAGCAACTGCTTATTATTTTCCGGGAAGTTATTATTTCGTTTAACATCCGGAGAAAAAAAAAACAATATTTATTTATAGGGATATAAGCTAAAATAGACTAAATACAAATAGTAGTCAGTTACAACGATCATTAAACATTATTATTATTATCCGAAGTGCGAATTTAACAGTATATGTGTTTCCCAGTCCCCTTTTAAGACGAGTGGTATGTGCAAAATGGTTGTCCAAAAAACACAATAAGATATATAGAAATAATTATTCATGGCTTAAGTGTTATTTGCCACTTGCGGCTTATGTGTTATGCCATATACGTCAGAATACGTCATCAAATCTTAAACATAGTCTCATCTCTAAAACAGACAAATGATCTATTTATATACTGTTTAAAATGACTCACCTTTAATGTGTTATTTCGGCGAATGGCATCTTTATTGCGGTCATCCTGTCCTGGGATACTTTTCGACCATAATCGTCTGGTTATGCCGCCATATGTCACAGCAAAGACGAAGAAAGGACTGAGAAAGATGACACCAAATATAAACATCTCATACGCAATTGTCGCCGTCTGATTATCGGCCCACACCTCACTACACGACTTTTTTGATTCATTCATCAGAGCATTAGTCACGCCCTTCTCCACTGCTCGTACTGTGATCAACTGTACAGTGCTCAGCAATATAGCTATACTCCAAACTAGTCCTATTATGACAACTTTGCGGTATCTCTGGTAATTTATATGCGTTTGTAATGGTAATGCGACTGCTCTGTATCTGTCTATACCGACGACCATCAAGGTGAAAATACTGACCATTACTGAGACCTGCAAACAAAAATTGCAAAATCATAATACTGCAAAAATTGTTATTGATAGCTGTCTACCTCAACAACATAGTTATACAATATTATATATATATATATATATATATATATATATATATATATATATATATATATATATATTACTAATTTTAATATTAGTCATCCCATGCCGTGCATTGTACATTCAGTACAGCGCAAAACTCGATGTGGCAGCTAGTACACGTTTCACGCTGAGGCCTGTCTAATAACTGATCAGGGACTGAGAAATATAGGGTAGCCTGCAGTGGTTATACGTCGGAAATATAACAGTGTTTGGGGACCCGTGTTTCGCGAAAAAAGGTGTTTGATTAACTTCTTTTTATTCTCTACACGGATAGTGTTCAATTAGCGTGACATTAAAATTAGTCTCTTGTACTCTGCATTCATTGAGACCTCGTTGTTTAGAAGCTTTGGGGTGAATTTCTCGCCGACGTCACTGTGTGTGACTGAGCTCCCACTGGAGCTACACGGTACCAACTTTTGAGTCCTAGGTGTCATCAATATCATTAGTATTACCGATCTGTGTGCAACTTATATTACACCCGTTACTTGTTTATGATTTAGTTGTATTAGTTAATGAATAAGTATTATTAATACTATTTTCTGGTTGTGTGGGGTATTGTTAAGGTGAAGATTCTCTTGTATTTCCGTTCGTTAGACTCTTGTGATAATTGTTCTCGAATATAATGAGAATACCGCAAATAATCACATTATTGTACATTGCTAATTCAGTATATTTCATTTCAGGGCCCCCATATTTGCTTACCTAAAACCATATTTGCGTCTAAACATTGGTGTAGTAGATATCTCAAAACACGAAAGCGCACACGTTCTAAAACATAAGTGAAAGCCATCCAATTCCTCTGCTGCCAAATCAACATGTGATACGTAAATATGGATGAAAGCTTACATCATCTATATGATAACGCCATTAAGTATATGTAGTTCAATTCAATTTGCTTGTCAAGTAAAATGAAGTTAAAACAAAACGTATTTAGTGACGGGGGACATATCAGTTTAACACGGTTAGTCTTACGTAATAAATATCGAAATAGAAAGAAAATCCATAATCAAGAACAACAATGTAGAACAGTGCTAACTCGCGAAGTTAATTCACGCAACTTAATATGTATTCTCATTGCAATGCTATCGTGTTATATGGCATTCCAATCACACAACTCAATATCCTGCAAAAAAATCATAATAGGACTGAAAATCTAATCACTAACAGAAAACTATTAATGAGATTCTAAGAAAAAAATGCAAATGTGACATCCTCTCAAAAAGTGAATGCTGATGGAAATGCAGACAAACAGTTGTCAGATTTAGATAAAGCTTAACGATTTCTTTACCAACAGTTAATTCCCAGATGCACTCAAAGTTTGAAAAATTACCCCTATTTTAAAAAAGGGTCACCATTCCATGTTAATAACTATAGACCTATATCTATCCTACCCGTTATTAGCAAAATATTTTAGTCCTTTACAAATTTCTTTACAATTTTTTTTACAAATTTCTTGAAAAATGTCATATCTTATTGCCATCACAGTATGGTTTTCGAAAAGATTACAGATATTACAGATAATATAGATAGAGGCCTTGTTACATTTGGCATTTTTATTGACTTAAAAAGGGCCTTCGACACTATAGACAATCAAATGTTACTCCAAAACTATATGATCATAAAACCTCTACCCAGTTGGAAGGTTGTCTAGCCGTTGACGGTTCGCCTATAGAGGGCGTACCTTTAATCACTTACTTTTTTCATTTTTTTAAATAGTTTTTCGTGCCAGGAGACAGTTCCGGAAATTGAATGTGACTGTTGTCTCTCTCGACTTTTTTGTATATGCAAATTGCAAGTGCTAGTGCTAGTGCTGACACATAGTGCATAGGGGTTAGCATTGATCCATCAATAACATGGAAAACTCACATTGAAAAAGTTAAGAAAATTATCAGCCCCAAAGTAGGAATAATCTCGCATTCGCCACTATATCCCTAAATCAATACTAATCCTTCTATATAACACACTAATTCTGTCACATTTAACTTACTGCATTGAAATTTGCGGGATACATATCCTACATGCTGGAACCAATACTTCGTTTAAAAAAAAGTAGCTAGACTAATCACATTTTCATACTTTTGTGCACCTCCTGCACATATCTTTCATCAACTCGGCATACTAGATATTTATAAACTTTGCAAACTTCACACTTGTCTATTTATATTTGACCTTAAACATAATCGCTTTGCCAATAATCTGAGTCACTACTTTGATGATCTGTCTCATAGCTATCCGACGAAGTCAATATTGCAAAGCAACCTTGCAATTCCAAAAGTTAACCTGACCATTTCTCAGCATAATCTAAAATTTGCATCTGTTAAACATTGGAACTCACTCCCAACCTCCCTTAAAATATCTCATAATAGAACACACTTCAAAACACATTAAAACAGTACTTACTACAGAATTAAATCTTTTACCTTATCAATATGTTTTTTACACATCAGTTTTGTTATGTTCTTTTATTTCCTCCTTCTATGAGTTGTATATTACTATCTTGGTTGTCCTACCTACCTAACTCCATTTTAATTTATTATTCTAATCATTATTTAACAAGTTTTATTACCATAATATCATACAATAAGTTGGTTTTTGAGCTAGATTAGTTCAGACGAACATTTTTTTCCCTGGACCAAATCAGAAAATTTCAAACATCCTTTTTTTCTTTCGCACATTGTTGTTTTCTGTTGTTGTATATTTTCTGGTGAAATAAATCAAATCAAATCAAATCAAATCAAAACAAGTTCCATAAGATCAATACTTGAAGAGCTGTGGCTTCCAGTAAATTGACTCAACTTTATTGTTCATACCTCGTACAACTAAGCACCACGTACAGAACTCGACGCTACAGCAATTACAAGCTACGCAGAGTATCAGGTAACAGACTTGAATCTTATGATGATCGGTGATTTGTACACTCAAACTGACAGTGAGTGTCACTGAAAATCGCTGTGTGGTATATCCAATACAGTCATTAATTATTCATGAGCGATCTAGTTTCTTTTTCACTATACACAACATTTCCTCTATGGACGTTTTCCCCAGTTATCCCACAAGCTACCTGCCACATTGGCACTATTATTTTGTCACACATGTTCACATATGACGATGTGAACAGAAATGATAGTTACTGCTTGAGTTACCATCTAACATATAATTCGGGAAAAAATCAAATTAAAATGGAAATCAACAAGGCATTGGAAATCATGTAAAACTCTGGTCAACTGAGCGTTGGCTATTCTGCATTTTATCACTCTATACGAGCGTGTCAAAAAATAGTATCTGTTATTCGATACACGATTTACAGATAATGCATGACCCAGCTGGGACACCCATTCTTGTTTAATTTATCGATGCTCACATGTTTGATGTGAGCTCACTGATAAACAATAGAACACACAAATTATAATAAACTACAAATGCTACGATACCAAGTTGAAGAGTTTTATTTATTGATTGTGGAAACTATCAATTTGCGCACTGTTATTGGCTGGCACACAACAAAATTGAAATCTAACTAATTAATTTAATAACTAATTGCAGGTGACGATATATTCAGACAGGTGATTAATACTGCATGTTAATTAATATTGACATAAACTATATGTCGAAATATGGTAACTGTAGTAATAAATTGTTTAGTTGTGTAATGTTTATGAACACAAAGTGAGTGCCTCGCAATTATTACGCCGGTCATTGGCACATGGAATAATGTAGACGCGATTTCGCACAGCAATTAGAGTGATTTTTTTTTTAACATTCAATTTGTCATCGACGTGCAGTATACAGTTCTGTTTCAAATGCAATGTGCTCGTCCTGAATGGTGGGTCTAATTTCAGCATTAAAGTTTAACGTTGGTAATTACTGGTATAGTGGGGATTGGAAGAGCCTAGTGAGTGTACAAATCATTGCAATAGCAAGTATCATACCTGTTTGGTAAACTGTACAATTGGACAAAGTATATCTTCGAACATCCATTGCTGGAACACAATATAAACAAGCGTGAACGGCATACAAAACATCGCCATCAATATATCGGCTACAGCCAGGTTTATCAGATAGGCGTTCATATTGTTTCTAGGACGTTTGATTTTGGAAAGAGTAATCACCACGACAACGTTCCCACACAGGGATAGTATGATCACGGCAGTATAAGCAATGCCAAGCAATACGCGACCAGTGAACGATATCTGTTTTCTGAACAATGAGTAATCCGGGATAGTTCCGTTGAATGATACAGATTCATTGTATACGCCTTGACATAACAACTCTCTGAACATCAAATACGACGGACTCTGGTAACACTCATTCTCGTCACATGTACAGTTAAAGACAAATTTGTAATAGTCTTTCACCATCGAAGTTCTGTCCATCGCGTCCACGTGTTTCGACACTCGGGGTGCTGCAGAGCAGGAGTGTCGCGAATTCAACCAGGAGAAGAGTGGTTCTGATCGAGAACTGCCTCGCTCATGCATTGAAACTGCGTTTCACGGTTGTCATAGAAACAACAGCTCAATCATACGACCACGCATAACAGGGTACGAGGGCGTGGTCTTTATTTACATAAACAGAAAGGCTGACGCATATACACTAACAGTAAAATAATTTCGCGGCTCTAAGAACTTTTACTTTTTGAAAACCATTTGCATTGACGTGCATTAGTGTCATGTTGACGATCAGTTACGTTAGTATCATACTCAACTGATTGATTGAGTAATCGCATTTATTTGAGGTAAAGGATAAAAATGTGGGAAATAAAACTGGTAGGTTACATGGAAGTAGCTGGCTTGTATATCTTAGTGTACTTACGAAATGCGTATGTTTATAGCGTTAATTCTACTTTTATAGTCAGCAGCGAGAAAACAATAAAGCAAGCTCTGACGTTCAAGCTTATTAAGTAGCAGTGGAAGTAGGTTTGCAGATTACTCAATATAATATCGAATACAACTTACTATACAAGTAAGTCGCACAAATCAAAAGCACTTTCGTCATTACGTAGCACTATTTTTTTCTGAAAGCCACTGCATTGAACGATTAAAACGCATCGCCGAATATTTCTTTTAATATACATAACTTCCATTGAAAACTCAGGCAGTCACGTTGTCTTATGCAACAATGTTGTTGTATGTTGGTACCCGCAGTTTTTTTTAATTAACGCCAATGTGCGAACAGAAGGCAGCGTGCGTCTATGTACGTGCAATAACCGCCAGAGCAATGCTGATTGTATTACGCACGTGTGCATGCCTTTCATTCACGAAACGATCGGCCCATCATTTCTGTAACTCGTATTATATATTATTATATACTGGTAGACAGTTGTACTGTGTGACTTGAGTTGCTTTGTGTGCTCGTCAAAACAAACACCGTTACACCATTGTACGCTCAGTATTATTTGCTTTTCATATTTAAATGTGTAAACACAGAGATCGTTTCATATACTATAGTAA